ACCGCCGAGGGTCGCACACGACGACCCGCCGAGGGTCACACGTCACACACGACGACCGCCGAGGACCACACGCCACACAAGACGACCGCCGAGGGCCACACGTCGCACACGACGACCGCCGAGGGCCACACGTCGCACACGACGACCGCCGAGGACCACACGTCACACACGACGACCGCCGAGGACCACACGTCGCACACGACGACCGCCGAGGGCCACACGTCACACACGACGACCGCCGAGGGCCACACGTCACACACGACGACCGCCGAGGGCCACACGTCACACACGACGACCGCCGAGGGCCGCACGTCGCACTCGACGACCGCCGAGGGCCACACGCCACACACGACGACCGCCGAGGGCCACACATCACACACGACGACCGCCGAGGGCCACACGTCGCACACGACGACCACCGAGGGCCACACGCCACACACGACGACCGCCGAGGGCCACACGTCACACACGACGACCGCCGAGGGCCACACGTCACACACGACGACCGCCGAGGGCCACACGTCGCACACGACGACCGCCGAGGGCCACACGTCGCACACGACGACCGCCGAGGGCCACACGTCACACACGACGACCGCCGAGGGCCACACGTCACACACGACGACCGCCGAGGACCACACGTCGCACACGACGACCGCCGAGGGCCACACGTCACACAAGGCGACCGCCGAGGGCCACACGTCACACAGGACGACCGCCGAGGGTCACACGTCACACACGACGACCGCCGAGGGTCACACGTCACACAGGACGACCGCCGAGGGCCACACGTCCCACACGACGACCGCGCCGGCCGGCTCTCACGCCCATGCCAGCGGTTGCGGGTGCCGGCATCGGCGGCGGCGGCCACACGGAGGCGTGACGTGACCGGCAGCGGACGCGCGCTGGCCGTCCGGCCGCACCGCCTCTCCCCGTCGGACTGACCCTGCAGCAGGTTGGGGAGCAGCGGCAGGAACTCCTGGTACAGCAGATCATGACTGCCGCCGCCGATGGAGCGGAACAGGGCGCGCAGCAGCAGGAAGTAGTTGTACGGCTCCCTGGCCGTCATCGCCAACTCCATGGACCTGGAGGAGCCGACGAACAGGTCACGTCATCCGGCCGTCGCAGTGGTGTTCAATCGCGGTGTTCGCGGCTTGTTACGTACGCAACGACCACAGGCAGCTGGCCGCGCCACGCCCAGTTTACCAAAGCAAAACGACGAACGGAAAAATAAAACAGTGGGAGCCAGAAGAAAATCTCATGACGCCTGGAATCAGCATCCCACCAGTCCACGTGGCAGATGTGGAACACCATCTAACCAGCAGTACGCACTTGTTGACAATCTGATGCAGGTACGGCTTGAGCATCTGTTCGTTGTCGTTGGGCAGGATGGTCACGCTGCCGAAGATGAGCTTGAACAGCTTCAGGTACAAGCTGCTTCGCTCCTACACAGAGACGAAACGGGTGTGATTAGTCATGCTGCTTTTCACAGTTGTTGGGCTTCAACAGTGAAAGCAGCTCAAACGGAATCTTAAATATTTGAGGGCATTGGAGCAGGTATCAGATATGATGAAATGAGCTCACTATTAACCAATGGAATGCTTTGCAGTGGAAAAGACTGTTCCTCTATTTAGTCAATATACTCCTCAATATGTCACCGTTTGAATGCGCCATGAAACGTTGTATGACGTCGAGGCGGTGCCAAGCTATCGGTCTGAAACCGCCACTCCTGCACTCGCATGAAGTTCTGAACTTCATGAACTCGCTGACACACGGCAGTGGCGGTGCTGCTGTTCGCTAAGCCAAATATCGCTAAAGGCTCGCCTTTTGGACCCCTTCTCGTGGTGTTCTTGCTTATTTAACCGTAAGTTTAAGAAGTTAGTTGCATTCACATACTTAGTTATGGCACTGTTGTTAAGCTACAATTATAAGTTTGATTTCCGTAAAAACTAGCAATGCTGTCCAGCTTCTTCCTTTATGCAGCACAAAGTGTGATGTTCAGAATTCCTCCTTCTTGTTTAATCCTGAATCCTCGTAGCGCCCGGCTTGTCCGGGGCGGACTCTATGCGTCAGCCACGAGTGGGGAAAGGGCTCTGATCCAAATAACAACATCGTGTTTGAACCTGCATAGTTTGCTCAACATTGATTGAGAGATTATTCGTTTGCTCGACATTGATTGAGAGCTTATTCACGTCTATCATATGACGAAATTGAGCTCGCGATGCGCCAGATCTGAACGGCTCGACCATATTTTTTCCTCTTGAACGACGCACGGCCTACGAGGCGACAGGACTTGAATCACGTCGCTATGGCGTCGTGCATGCCTGTAACGGCCTTGAAATAGTCTGCACATCTTCGTGGGCGAGTACCTCAAAACTAGGTTTAAAGTCTTGAAAAGAGCAATGCCGTGAGCGGCACCGAATGACTTTCAAAATAGCTATTTTAGCTCAAAACCACATTCAAACAAGGAACACTCCCTTTAATCGCACATATAATATCCGTATGCAAACAACAGTAGCGCGAAGCTTGTGATAACTCAAGCACATCACTAAATTGCTCGCTACTCCGCATCAATTGTGGTAAACGATCGACACCGGCTCGCGCTATGTCTTTCCCGATGTACTGCATCTACCTTTTTCCATTTTGAGACAAAAAAATCCCCCACAAAGGCCTCTGAGTAACTGTGGCGCGCAGCCTGCACCCGAAGGACCAATAGCTTCCTTTAAAGGTGATCTGGTGACACGCCGTCACCTCTCGTGCCCGCCACGTGACCAGCCGTCACCCGCCCCCGTCATCCCCCGTGCCCGCCAGGTGACCAGCCGTCACCCGCCCCCGTCACCTCCCGTGCCCGCCACGTGACCAGCCGTCACCCGCCCCCGTCACCTCCCGTGTCCGCCACGTGACCAGCCGTCACCCGCCCCCGTCATCTCCCGCAACCACCACGTGACCAGCCGTTACTCGCCTGGTTGCTGCCCATCTCGGCCATGCGCTTGAGTAGGTACTCCACCAGAATGGTGGCGAATATGGGCGAGGTGGGCGCGTTGGCCAGGAAGCTGTTGGCCACGATCTGCAGCGCGCTGTTCTTGTTGATGCGGTCCACCATGTAGCCGATGGTGGTGCTGAAGATCTCTTGGAACGTGGCTGGGTGCATCATGGCAAACTGGCGGACAGAGGGCGGCGCCACTGACTCCACAGCCACAGAGCCCACCTCCCGCACCCGTCAGACGGCCGCACAACCAGCCAGCCATGGTGGCTGCACAAACACACTGCACAAACACAGAGCCCGCCTCCCGCACCCGTCAGACGTCCGCACAACCAGCCAGCCATGGTGGCTGCACAAACACACTGCACAAACACAGAGCCCGCCTCCCGCACCCGTCAGACGCCCGCACAACCAGCCAGCCATGGTGGCTGCACAAACACACTGCACAAACACCGGACCCGCATGAGGGGAAACATGAGCGTGATTTTTACGATACGCCACTAGCCAGTGGTCCCAGCCGGGCCGTCACCGAGCATGACTCACCACGCCGGCGAAGTGTTCCAACACCTCCTTCTCTTCGCGGACTGCGCACGGTCGGCTGGTTGAGCTGGCGGGCGGCGGCGGCGCCTCCGCCGGGGCCGTTCATTGTGTAGATGTCCAGCGCCAGCAGCGCCCAGTGTACCAGCCGAATAAACACCAGCGTTTCGGACGGCGAGAACTGGCGACTCTGCGCCTTCTGGGCCGACACACCGTCACCGCTCACCTGGAGTCACACACCCAGTCACTGCTCATCTGAGGTCAAACACCTGGTCACTGCCCACTTGGGGTCACACCTGGTCACTGCCCATCCAGAGTCAAATACCAGGTCGCTGCCCATCTGGGGTCATACACCTGGTCCCTGCCCATCTGGAATCATACACCCAGTCACTGCTCATCTGAGGTCAAACACTGGGTCACTCCCCATCTGGGACCATACATCGGGTCACCGCCCACCTAGGGTCACACACTGGGTCAATGTCCATCTGGAGTCAAACACCGGGACACTGCCCACCTAGGGTCATACACCGGGTCAATGTCCATCTGGGGTCAAACACTGGGTCACTGCCCATATTGGGTCAAACACCGATTCAATGCCCATCTGGGATCACACACTGGGTCAATGCCCATCTGGGGTCATACATCGGGTCACCGCCCACCTCAGGCCAAACACTGGGTCACTGCCACCTGGGGCCAAACACGTGTCACCGCTGGGGATGGGAAAACCTGAACTGACTGACTGCATATCCCGGCAAGGAATACTTTTCCGGCCCGATGTTGCTCCGCAGCCTGTTTTTGAAGTGAAAGTTAGATCACGATCCGGCCCGCAGTTGGTCTGCAGCCTGTTTTTGAAGTAAGGGTTAGATCACGATCCGGCCCGATGTTGATCCGCAGCCTGTTTTTGAAGTGAGGGTTAGATCACGACCCGGCCCAATGTTGGTCTGCAGCCTGTTTTTGAAGTGAGGGTTAGATCACGACCTGGCCCGATGTTGGTCCGCAGCCTGTTTTTGAAGTGAGGGTTAGATCACGACCCAGCCCGATGTTGGTCCGCAGCCTGTTTTTGAAGTGAGGGTTAGATCACGACCCGGCCCGATGTTGGTCCGCAGCCTGTTTTTGAAGTGAGGGTTAGATCACGACCCGGTCCGCGAGTTGCTCTCGTTTCTGCGATCCGAGACGGGTTTGAACTCTTCCGTGTGATCATCAGTTCACGAAACCGTCATTAAGAGCTTTCGTTATTTACGGTGGGCATTCCTTGTCCCACAAGGAATGCCCATTATCGTAATTTGGTTCCGTCACTATCAAGCGCCTATTGAGCCCAACAGTGAGAGCCAAACATCACTGCTCATTTTCAAGTGGTTCCCATATGCGTCAATAGCTAATGCTCGATCAGTTTTTCCATGCGAGGCCGTAAGTGCAGCGTCGAATTCCATACAAGTTTAAGGACTAGTTCACTTCGGTCTCCTCTCCAGATGCATCTATTCTCTCCGAAATAAATACACCTGGTCAATATGCTTAATGTTTCCGTATATAAGACATTTTCTAGCATTTACGGTGCTGTGAAGTCTTATCACTGTCTATCCCGATGAGTGGCAAGTGAACAGCCAACCACTGGTTCGGTTTTCATATATGCACATAACTAAGCGGTGATTTTAATGCCGCATATGCTGAGTGGCGTGTCAACTAGTCAAAGCGTAGCACGCATGCATTTTACAGTACAGCCAGCCAAATGTCCACCCACGTTCAAAAGAATGGTAGCTGGGAGCCTGGGAGGCCCACCTTGTAGCAGTAATAACGTTACGTGGTAAAAACGATAACGATCAACATATCGAGGCTGCCATTCGCTCTATCACCCGCAGTACTATGACCTTTGTCATACATCTTGGAGGCAGTGCATTAATTTCCCATAGAACCGAGTTAAGTAATGGAGGAATTGTAACAAGAATGCCACTGAGGATTGCTGTGTATCTTCCCAAGGACCCAGGTCCGGACTGCGAGCCTGTTGAGAGCAGCAAAGAGGTGGAGATCATTAAGAACTTTTGCCCAATTTTGCCCGTCCCTGGTCACCTGGTCACACAGCGTCACCGTTACCTACGCCATATACTGTGTCACATCTCACCTAGGCTCACACGCCACGCGACCGCTTACCGCACACCCAGCTATCACGCTTGGGGTCACATACAACAGCACGGACGAGGTCAGCCGGCCAGGAGACAGCTGAAGTTACATGCATGACCGCACGACCTTTTCACCGGTCACCTCCGTGGGATCGGCGGGAACATGTCGACCAGGGGCGGCTGGCACTGCCCGCGCGCGCGCGCGCGCGCGCGACACACACACACACACACACACACACACACACACACACACACACACACACACACACACACACACACACACACACACACACACACACCCACACACACACCCACACCCACACCCACACCCACACCCACACACACGCGCGCGCGCGCGCGCACGCACGCACGGACACGCACGCACACGCACACGCGCACGCACACGCGCACGCACGCACACACACGCACATACACGCCCGCGCGCGCGCACACGCACACACATTTCCTGACATCATAACTAGAGCCTGAGGCCTGCCAGCGGGGGAATGGACAAGAGACGGCCGACGCGTGTGCTGCGGGGCCGGCCCGCGCCGCACGACAGCAGCGCCCCGACCAGGACGTGACTAGCGCGAGGCGGCCGCCGCCGGACGCCCACCTTGCAGGAGGCGCAGCCCCAGGTGATGGTCTTGACGCCGCAGATCAGTGTCTTGACCAGGTTGCGGCAGTCGATGACGCTGTAGGCGGCGGCGGCGCTGGCCGCGATGCCGATGCGCGCCGGCGGCGGAGGCCTCTCGCTGATGGCCGCCAGCTCAGCCAACAGCTCGGCGGCCGAGAGCGCCGCTGGCGCCGCGTCGCCGGCGCCCTCCGCGCCCGGCGACGGCGAGGCCGGCGCGTCCGGCGACGCCTCGCTCGAGCCTGCTCCGCTGTCGGTCAGAGCGGGACACCGTCACCCGGCGCCCGTCACCGCGCACCGCAAGCACAGCCCAGACAATCCACTACCGACCGCAGTTTGGCGCAAGTCAATCTCGATGATCCATCCCAAAAGCCGGCTGTCTGCTTAACATACGCACAGCCAGGCGGGCCGCGCCAGGAGGGTTGTACGCGTCCTACTGTGCACGTCAAGACGTCGGGCTAAGACCTGACCCAAGTTGTGACGCACTTTTTGGTGACGAGAGCGGGGATCTGGATCTGCGCGATGGTCTTGAACTTCTGCACGAACACCTCCAGCATGCGCATCAGCAGCGCCCGCCGGTCGCCGTTCTCCATCTCGGTGCGGTTGCGGATGCAGTCCACCAGGTTCAGCAGGAGCTTACACGACATCGTCTGGATGCTGGCCGGCGACGACGACATCAGCGTGCAATCGCCAGCGGTAACGGATAGCAGCGACGAGGAAATGTCGACGAGGCTGGCCATGGCCAGACAGGCGTGGCAGCGAGGCGGCATTCTGTAGGCCCTTCACGCTCTCCGGGTCTACAACCACACGCTCAGATTTTCACAAGTACCCTTAAAACCACAGTTAGACCTACCAAACCCGAATGCCTGTCAAGTGACCAAACAATTTACAGATGCTAGTTCAGATCGCGTCTACATGACACCACTAAACTTGGGCGGTTGTCTGTACTTCCGGAGGCGTTGATTTAAAGCATTCTTAGTTGTTTCGAATCACTCGTATGCCAGACATTAAGTGACCGAAATTTGTCACAGTCCAGGTCACAGTCCAGGTGAGACGCGACAGTATGACGTCACCAGCTCCGATCACGTCCGGTCCCCTCACACGCCGCCGCCTGCCCGCCGCGGCACCAGCAGGCTCCGCACTCACGTGGTGGGCTGGGACTCGTCGTGTATGTTCTTGGAGAACAGGTGGACAGCCGTGGTGAGGTGGTTAAGCGGCAGGTGCTGCCGCACGTGGTGGATCAGGTCGGCCAGTGTGCTGTAGGCCAGCGTGCGGCACGACTCGTTGGCCGTCCACCCGACGCCCAACAGGATTGTCTCGTCAAACAGCTTCTCCATATATGGCACGAACTCTGTCGGAAGCAAACGCTTGGGCTGAACCAAAGGCCACAAGCGTCAGTCAGCAGCCTGCTGTGGGCCGGTGATGCCCTCAATGAGGAGTGCTCGACTGTGGCAATGGCAACATACACAAATGTCTGACTTGCAAAAATCACTAATGAAGACGTGCTGGTGTCATTCAGAAAGGTACTGACGTTTGCAGGAAGTGATAGGCGCACTATAGCGCAGTAAAACGCCCACATTACGTCTGAGCGCGCTGCGGAGTACCGGCGCATCGCAAAACAACAAACGCCTATTTCAGCGGTAGTCGCACAATGTACACGACCGCAGCGGTCGCCAGCCGGCCGTGTCGGAGGCGGCGTCCAGCGGCCGTCCCAGACCGCCGACAACGTGGCAGCACCACTCACTGAGCCGCAGGTCGGTCTGCAGGATGTAGCGGGCTGCGATGAGGATCTCCTTGCGCAGGTGCGCCACCTCGGGCGGACAGAGCACCAGCAGGCCCAGCACGCCGCGCACCAGGCTGCCGCTGTGCTGGGACACCGGGTCCTGGTAGATCTTGATGATGTACGCCAGGAAGCTGAGCGTTTTGATCTGCGCCGCCATGAAGTCCACCAGGATTTCGCGGTTGAAGTTGGGCGCGGACCGGATCTGAAACGGACGCGGCGCTGGATGGAGTCCGCCTGGTTCGTTCGTCCATTAATACGGTCAGGCGCGGGGCAGTCCAGCACATACCATGCAGGTACATTACCATGGAAGTAATTTTCAGTGTTGAAACTGTATGTGCCGCGGTCTTTTCCGCCTAAAGACAATGCATTTCCACAAATGTGCACTAGAAAGGGACATTTTGTTTCAGTTCGCATATGCAGAACCGTGCCATTGCGACCGTCATGCAGCAGGGACTCCGCATTGACAGGCACCGCAATCAAAACACAGCGACATTGTAAAACCAAACTAAAACTAAAAACGGGTGTCCACAGCGTAGTGGCTAACACGTCTGCGTTATCCGTTGCGTGTCTACGAAACCGCAGGTACGGGGGTTCGATTCCCCGCGGTGCCTGCCCTTCCTGCCAGGGTGAGCCGCAGGCCACGCCAGGGCCTCAGCAGCTGAGTACGTCGTAAAGCCCCAATGACGACAAACAATTAAAACACGTATAATTAATATGAGCTGACTCTTGCTGAATACTCTTTAGATTAGGACTGCTGAGGCACCAGCGTGGGCTCAATCCAGAGCCCAGAGAGCCCAATCCAGAGCCCAGAGAGCCCAATCCAGAGCTCAGGGAGCCCAATCCAGAGCTCAGAGAGCCCAGTCCAGAGCTCAGACGCAAATCCAGAGGTCAGAGCTCTCTGCCGAGCCACAGCTTACACGCTGATTGAATAAAATGTACTCTCACCATAGTCCATCGAGATGATGAAAATACTTTCTCAGCCCTTGGACAACATAATGGGGGATGGTGTTATTTTGAATTTCCAAGAGTTATCTTCTGTTCATTCTTTTAACATGGATCGACCTGACACTTTGGTGGCCTTGTAATCACGTCAGCTTTAGCATGTACTTCCTTCTTGTAAGAAGCTTTTCCCCCAAGAGCTTTTCCCCAAGCAGAGTTGCTCAAAATGGTTAAATAGGGTTTTGGGTATTTTCTTTATGCACAAAGCCCACAGACTTGATTATTGAGTTCCGAAACCTAAGAGTCTCCCCCCCCCCCCCCCCCCCCCGGCACACGGAAGGCTTTACTATGACACTCCTACACGTAAGCACAGTGCAGTGATGATACATCGCGCCACTTCTCGCCGGCGCCTCATATTTGACCGCTTTCAGTGGCACAAATATGATTGGCACGGCTCCCACGGCGAATTCATACTGTTGTCAATACAAGGCATAAACTGTGAAAAAGCCGGCGCACACGGGCTTAACATTCTAACTTTGCCTTTTTAGACTATCCATGACCTAGGTCACCTGAAAGCAGCAACACAGTTACAGTGGATTATCATGACAGTCCGGAACACTGTACAGCATGAACCCTCCCTTTACAAATCGTGTCAGATCATATCGAACCATGTATTTACGCTAGTCGTATCGAATCACGTGTTTACACGAACCATACATCATCCATCTACACGAAACACATCACATCACACAGGTGTACCCATGCACATCTGCATACTCCGAATGGTCACCTGGTCTGGACGACGGCGCGCCACTCACCCTAGCAGCAGCACGTGCCGAGCCGCAGTGACAACGGCAGCGCACCGCTTCGGCCGCGCGGTGCGGCGCCCCCACACGCTGCGCCCCGACCCGCTCACCTGCTGGCTCGGCTGCAGCGTGATGGTGGTCATGATGAGCGGGATGAACTCGGCCACGTCCTGATGCACGTTCTGCTTGTACAGCTGGTACATGAGCACCACGATGATGGGCAGCTCGGCCAGCACCTTCAGGGACAGCACCGCCTTCGGCAGCAGGTTGTACTGCGGAACGGCCAGCGACCGATCAGGAGCTTCGGCGCAGCGCTTGCTGGGCGGCCAGCACACGCCGCGCGTCAGGCCCTACACTCGGGACCAGTGTGCGGCCGGCACACGCTGAGCATCAGGCCCCACAGCCCGCCCAGCTGCGCGGTCAGCACACGCTGCGCGTCAGGCCCCTACACTCGGATCGGTGTGCGGCCGGCACACGCTGCGCGTCAGGCCCCTACACTCGGACCGGTGTGCGGCCGGCACACGCTGAGCATCAGGCCTCACAGCCCACCCAGTGCGCGGTCAGCACACGCTGCGCGTCGGGCCCCTACACTCGGACCAGTGCGCGGCCAGCACACGCTGCGCATCAGGCCCCTACACTCGGGACCAGTGTGCGGCCGGCCCCATCAGCCCTCCCAGTGCGCGGCGGATTATCTTGGTCGGTTCCTGTGCACACGCCGCCGACTGCGGTAGGGCCATCGGCGGCGACGCCAGTCGCCATGAGCACCACACACGCAACAAGACGTCAGCAGAACGTCACGGAAGCGCTGCTACCAACACTGTGCGAGAGGCGCGAGAGGAGTTAGGTATCTAGCATCCCTCTCGGGCCACCCCACTCAACACGCCGAGCCGGTGCTGGCCGGACCCGCAGCACGCCCCCCCCCCCCCCCCCCCCCCAGCTGCGCGGGTCCGGCTAGTGCGGCGCCCGCTCGTGAGCGCGGCGGCGACGCGGGTTCGGCCGTCGGCGGAGCTCACCGTGACGGTGTTGCCCTCTGCCGTGCGTCGCTCCGTGTGCAACGTCGTGATGGTGTAAGTCTCGCAGAGTAGGGCGTTCAGGTTCACCTCCGCCACGTCTGGCACGGGCAGGCTCTGCGGCCGCTCGAACACGTTGTTCAGGTGGTTTGGCAGCTCCTTGTAGATGGACTTGACGAACGTCAGGAATTGCTGGATCTGGAACGCGGGCGTAGCAGTCGGTGGAGCTAGTGGCCGCGGGGCTTACCGGCGCGGGTGGTCCAGCGCAAGGGCAGACACGGGCAGATGCCATACAATGGCTTCCTCGCGTATTGATATGTTCGCAAACTAGCCCCTGAGTCCGCACACCAGCCAACCACGGCACTGCCGCACCCTACAGCCTGGCAGGAGCATACCTTGTTGTTAGAACCGGTCATCTGTCCGATCACACTGCACCACTGGGTCACAAAACGGAGGTGCGGCGGAAGGCTCACGAGAGAAAAACAGGGAGATATGGAGATAGGGAGGGACGAAGACAGGCAGGGGCGAAGACAGGCAGGGACACAGGCAGGGAGGAACAAACGCAGGGAGGGATGTACACAGAGAGGGGCGAAGACGGAGAGGGACGAAGACAGGAAAGGACGAGTACAGGGAAGGGCAGAGAAACGGCGATCGACATATGGACGAACAGACAGGGCAGGCACACGGACAAGGATGGGGATGGGGATGGGGATGGGGATGGGGATGGGGATGGGATGGGGATGGGGATGGGAATGGGATGGGGACAGGGATGGGGACAGGGATGAGGACAGGGACAGGGACAGGGACAGGGATGGGGCGGCACGGCACGGCACGGCACGACACGGCACAGCACGGCACGGCACGGCACGGCACGGCACGGCACGGCACGGCACGGCACGGCACGGCACGGGAACGGAATGGGACGGGACGGGACGGGAACGAAACGGGACGGAAACGGAACGGGACGGGAACGGGACGAGACGGGAACGGGACGGGAACGGACCGGACGGGAACGGACCGGACGGGAACGGAACGGGACGGGAACGGGACGGGAACGGAACGGGAACGGAACGGAACGGGACGGGAACGGGACGGGGACGGGACGGGACGGGACGGGACGGGACGGGACGGGACGGGACGGGACGGGACGGGAACGGAACGGGAACGGGACGGGAACGGAACGGGACGGGAACTGAACGGGGACGGGAACGGAACGGGACGGGGACGGGAACGGGAACGGAACGGAACGGGACGGGAACGGGACGGGAACGGAACGGGACGGGAACGGGACGGGAACGGAACGGGACGGGAACGGGAACGGAACGGGACGGGAACGGAACGGAACGGGAACGGGAACGGAACGGAACGGAACGGGAACGGAACGGGACGAGACAGAGCGGGACAGTACGGGATGGGGTGGGGTGGGGCAGGGCAGGGCAGGGCAGGGCGGCCAGCCAGCCAGAGAAAACTGTTCTTTCAGCATACATACATTCAGAACAGGACAGACATACAGACAGCACAGAGCAGACAGCCATAGGACAGACAAGACAGAACAGAGCAGAAACAGACAGAAAATGACAGAATGGGATAGTCAGACAAAACACAACAGAATAGAACAGAATAGAAGCCAACAGGACCAGATAAACAGGGCAGCACAAGCAGGCCAGGACAAACTGTAGGGGACATAAAGACAGAGACATATGCACAAACAAAACAGATCAGCCAAACAGACCATACAGACAGATCAAACACCAAACAGATCAGACCAACAAACGAAAACAGCGAGGGAGACCGCGACATATTAAGACGACAAGGGGGGGGGGGGACAGCACAGGATGGGCAGTGACAAGCGATAACATCTGGATTTACCTCGGGTGTGTGGGCCGGTCGAAACTGCTTGTGCATTTCAATGATAATGCGAAGACAAACGAGCACGTTCTCCTCGTTGTCAATCTCCAGCAACTTGAACATGGCGTTGATGATGCTGCGCGTATACTGCCGCAGGCTGTCAACCGCCGGCGTCCGGTGCAGCATGTCCAGCACCAGCTTGCGCAGTTGCTGTGTGTGTGCCATGCACGCATGCAGGGGTCACTGGGATGATGTCTCGCACACACTGCTAGACACGATTGATAAAAAACTGACATCAGTGAGTCATTCTTGCATCCCCTGTGGCTCCAATTACAGCCTGATACAGGGGCAGCTGTGGTGAGCACACACATTATCACTTCATAATGCAGCAGTGCTTTTCAAGATCATACATTAACATACCAAAGCCTTCTTAGCATCCTCACCTGCACATTGTATTCAGCAATGAAACAGGGACTTCCATCTTGCAACAGCTTTAGGCAGGTCTTCACGAACAGATCCAGGAATTGAGAGAAGTTTGCATGGTTGACAATGAACTGAAACAGATACAATGCAGGGCCAACATTAGTAGAAGCCAGCAAGACCACAGGGCACCTCCCCGTCAAATCGCACCAAGCCAGCGTTAACCTCAGAGCCATTGGTAGTTTCAGGGCAGCATGCTTTCTGGCTTCAGCCCACAACTTAACCAGCACCAGGACATCAAAAGAGAGAAAGCACTGTGAAATGAACAGGACATGTTAGTAGCTTTGATAGTCACTGATATAAAGATGATGGGAGCACTTTAAACTAGGCTGCTTTGCATTCATGGCTAAGGCCTGTAAGAAAGTGCTGAATGATCCCTTTGACAATCAAGGACTTAAACCCATGATGTGCCAGGATAACTGGGAGTGGTTAGGCTATTACACCTTGAATTAGCTCCTTCAAGAGAACATTAAAAGACACAGTGTCATATGAACAGATCAAGGGTGAGTTCAAATGGTGCCACTCATACTGTGCCAGCAGCTGTACCATGCCACCCCACCTCAAAGTTGTCACTGATCTCCTGCGCTGCCTTGAGCTTGTTCTCATCTTTGGCATTGGGGTCAGCCAGCAGAGCCACATATGAGCGGTAGGTGGCCATCTGACCGGCCTGGTCAGCAGCAGGCAGTGCCGTCCCAGCAGAGGGACCCGCCTGTGGCACTGCCGCCATTGCCTCACGCTGGAGGAGGGCGCGGACACAGCAGCCAGCTCCTGCAGTCAGAGGCAGCATATCAAATGTCTCTGTCAGCTTCTGCAGCCAGAGGCAGCACATCATATACCTTGGCCAGTTCCTTCAGACAAAAGAAGTACTGTGACATACCTGCAGGGTTGTCAAATATACTGATTTAAGCTATCCTGCATCTCAGAATATCTACAATGACTTAAACTTATCAATGATAGACCAAGACTTGCCAAACCTTGTAAAGACAAGACCAAGACTGATCCCAACACCTTAAATTTTGACTATTGAAGTATCTCTAGCAGCCTGCTACCTTTAATCTAATGAGACATGAATTATATATTTTGATTTACAGGATTCCTAAATCTGGTATCACCACAGCATGAAAAACTAATTACAAAGAATTAATATATAATGTGTTCCTAGGCAGGCCATATAGGAGGCATGAGTATGAACTTGTTTAGTCACTGAGAAAAGGAAATTGGTACTCAGAATTTTCATTAAGTAACAGCAATTTGACAGTGACCAAAGAGATAAGTGCACAAGATGATTAAGCCATTGAATATGTTATATCAATTACCATCCAACATCACTGTCCATCCTTGTAATAGCTTGTCATTACATATTGAAAACAGGATGTACCATCCAAACCAAAAATAAGATGCTCTGATTATGGTCACATACAAATAATAATCCTAACCCTCACTGTTAAAGGTCAAGTACTTAAGCAAAGCTATCTTGTTCAAAATTCCTTCACCTAGAACTGGTGTCAACACAATCAGGGAGAATCTTGCTATCTTTAACAAAATCCCCTCAGCAAACAGTAGAGTGAAGGCCAAGCTGTGGTCAACAAAGTCCTGCTGACCAAAGCCAGATGAAGATTTAATCCACCCATTAAGGGGACACTTCTGAATTCCTACCTCCAACTGAACAGGAAGCTACACAAATGGTTCATCAATTTTATTGCAATCAGATGTCAAATTTAATGTGTGGTCTGAACACCTATGCATTATCTATGAGCCCAGGCTAAGTGCATCATGTTCATATCCAGGAAATAATGCACTTATACATCTTTGGTAAACACCAAACCAGCCACATCATCAAAACATTTCATTGGGCTTTAAAATGACATCGGTCTAAAATTCACTAGAAGGCCAGACTGCCAGTCCTTCTAAATGCAACTTTTTATTTAAGAATAATTATTTGGAATTCAGTTAAGCAACCAATGCTCAAATGATGGAACACAATTTGACATGCCATACACCTAGAAAAGCAGAGACTACAAACACTGTCAGCCTGTTTTTTCTGCTCTCATTAGTAATCATTGAAGCCTGCTAGTGCACCAAGTTGATGGGCAAGCACAGGTGAACAATGGCATTGCAATGCCAGTTTGAGTAATGTAAACACAAGTGCCCAGCGACGTTATTCTCGTCATGAACACCAATTTTGAGCTGTGTTTATTCTGCTGGGATGGTGCAAATTTACACAAACACTCCCTCCCCCCTTCCCTGCCCCAGAAGTACTGGGGCACAGTGCTCATTTACCTAAAACAACCTTTTCATTTACCACACAGCACGACACCCCCACGTACTCGACCCAGGACGCTACGGTCGCGTTGATCGGCGTTCTGGATGTTCGCAAGGCTCTAAGTTATTGGTGACATCAGCGGACAATTTAATTTCATCCCTTGCAGGTCATACAATGACGTCACTGGAAACAATTTCCTTCAAGCCCATGGCGACTGACATTTTGATGTGAACAAGCGGATTAGATTAGAGCTGTCGGGTGTTTCCTGTCCCATGCGAATGATCAATGTGCCACGGTAGTTGGCTTTTAATTCTCGATTAGCCCATACCAATCGCCAACCAGAATGTCACGCATAAAATGCGCAAAATGTGAGTTAAATATTTACGAAATCAGCAATTTGTAGCTATCTTTTTAGCAAAGAGCTTTTTTCCAATAAAACGTCTCAGATGACCTTTTTCAATACAAGAACACTAACACTGATTTCTGTTTTTCAGCATCACGCAACCTTCAGGGTTAACTTTAAGGCCAATAACACGGGATACATTAGATTGAAATGTTTCCGTGGGATTTACAGCTCTTCAGATTGTCTTCTTCAGCGTGCGAATTACCACCCGAAGAAATGCACCGACTTATCACACAAACTCACTCAACATGGCAAAATGGGAGGACGAATGGTGGTATCTATTTTAACTGAACTTTAATCGAGTGATTTTGATTTTTTAGGCATCAAAATCATCTTCAGCATAGCAAGTGCGTTTGTCGAGAAACCCCAACATCAGAATGCTAGCATTCAAGATAAAATTCCAAGTCGAACGATTGGAAACCCCATTTCACCCCAAAAGTCACCCCAAGATTCGGATTTTCGAACATTAAAATCTTCTTCAAAGCATGAGCTTACGCAGGTCGCAGGTTGCGCAGGCAAAAGGTCCTGAGACCTTAATGTCGACCGCACTCGTCCATTGAAGGGTTTTTTGGGCTTAAGATCATGGTGCCCAAAATTCCGAAAAACCGTCGGTGCGTTTTTGGCGAAATTAAGGTTCCCGCCACTTGGCCTTAAAGTTGACCTTGATGGTTGACCTTAGGTGCCGACTTTATGGAGGGCGCTCCCTTCCGCGGCAACATGATGGTTCTTAGAATCCAAAGTCACTACAAATTTGGCACTGCATTTGACCTTTCTGTTGGCATTTTCCAAATGCACTACTTCATCCGAAGACGATTGTGATGCCCACAAATTCGGAATAGCAGTCACTTTGTTAGACGCTAAATAAGACGCCTACAATTAAAAACGCAAAATCGGTGTCATCTTTGATGACGTTAATTTCAAATGACATTGAAGGCCATCTGTGTGCACACACAACACATTCCATATTCTCGCCCCAGGGTTTACACTCCGAGGCATTTTCAATGAAATAGGACTGGTCACTGCATATATATCGCTGCATTTGCGGCATGTTCCTGCTGAGGGCAACCCTGATGGTTTTCCTCACAGCAGGAAGTGTTGGCTGGGCGCGCGAGTCCTCCGCATAGAGGCGATTACAGGGAGGCGGCCAGGCCACCCGCAGCAATAGGCCACGACGCCGGCCAACCCACTTTCCGATAACGGCGTTTCGCAGACAACGATCGAACGACGGCAACCATATATTCATGTCCCCGCTCTGGGACGACCACCGTCAGTAAGCATTCACATTTGTACCGGGTACTTGTACAGGTACACGCGCCCACCGCCTTCGGTCAGACGCCTAAGAGGCAGCACAAGACACAGTGCCCCGAATGCCAGACAACAGCGACTATTGCACACACACGCCACGGCCCGCGCCGACGCAGCGCAGTCACGCGTCCGTATAAACACGCCAGCCCCCGAGGTTTCGCCGGCGGCGCCCACCCGCCACATCGGGCGCCGCGGCTGCCGGCGGCAGACGGCGACACGGGCGGCGCACGGCGCCCGGCCGCTCGCCGGTCCGGCGCGGCGAGCGGCGAACGCGGCGGACGCCAGCCGTCCGTGCAGCGCACGGGCGCCGGTCTGCTGCCGACTCAACACGGCGCGTAATACTCGACGTCCCTCCGACAACCTGCCGCCCTTCAGCGCGCGTCCCTGGCCATGGCGGCGGCGGGCGGTTGTCCGGAGCAGACGGGCCAAACAGGGCTGGCCGCACACGGTCGCGCCGCCTGCGACCGCTGCAGGGTCCGTCAGATGCCATCCGCCCTGCGCCGGGCACACCCCCGCCTCTCGCCTGCGGACATACGGCCTCCGCCCAACAGGCAGCACAAATCAGCGGCTCCTCCGCTGGACGGGACATGAAACCACCCGCCCAGCCACCCAGATGTCCGTCACAACATCGTGCTGAGCTCGACTGGCTTCCTGCCCGAACGGACGTGACCCGCGCCCACCAGTCAGAGTCATTGTCATTGAGATTGGGGCTTTCCGGTGCACTCAGCAACTGAGGCTATATGGCATCGCCTGCCTCTCACCCTGGCAGGAAGGGCGGGCACCGCAGGGAACCGAACACCGTACACCTGGTTTCCCAGACGAGCAGCGGCTTTACTACACTACTGGCATTCTCCCGTTCCAGTCAGGACTGTGACTTGGTCACGCAGCGTCAGGCCACCGTCAGTCCTCCCAGAGACCAGGCACCATCACAGGGCCAGAAGCAGTCACCGAGTCTGTCCGGCCAGCCGGCCGCCCAGCTGGCTCCCGGCTGGACGCGGCCCATTGCGCGGCGGAAAGTGTGTGCCGGACGCCGCTCAGGCCTCGCGCGGCTCGGCGGCGCGCACCCGGCGAGCAGTCTGGCGTGCGCTCGGCAGCAGGTCCTGCTTGTAGCTCGCGCCAGTCGCTCGCACGGCTGGCGCCAGCTTCTGCGCCTGCTCCTCGCCCTCCTCTCCTAGAGGGATCGGCAGCAGCGGTCCTGAAACGACACCAGCACAGGTCACCCCCCTGCCGGCAGGCGGCGGGCACCACCATACCAGGCGCAACGGGACGGGGAGGACTGTACCAGGCACACCAGATCGGCGGGGACTACACCGGGCCTACCGGGGCGGCGGGGACTAAACCAGGCCCACCAGGGCGGCGGGGACTACACCAGGCGCATCAGATCGGCGGGGACTACACTAGGCCCACCAGGGCGTCGGGGACTACACCAGGCACACCAGGGCGGCGGGGACTACACCAGGCCCACCAGGGCGGCGGGGACTACACCAGGCGCACCAGGGCGGCGGGGACTACACCTGGCCCACCAGGGCGGCGGGGACTACACCTGACCCACCAGGGCGGCGGGGACTACACCAGGCGCACCAGGGCGGCGGGGACTACACCTGGCCCACCAGGGCGGCGGGGACCACACCTGACCCACCAGGGCGGCGGGGACTACACCAGGCGCACCAGGGCGGCGGGGACTACACCATGCGCACCAGTGCCACGGGGACTACACCAGGCGCACCAGATCGGCGGGGACTACACCAGGCCTACCAGGGCGGCAATGACTACACCAGGCGCATCAGATCGGCGGGGACTACACCAGGCGCACCAGGGCGGCGGTGACTACACCATGCGCACATTTTTCGTTACTGCTGAAAGAGGCGCTCAGATTTAAGCGGTCCACTGTGCGCCATTCCACTCCTCTGACTATACCGTACTACACCATGCCCACAGCCGGAAATGAGCTATAACAATCTGGACGGCGTACGACACGCTTGCAGCGCAGGGGCCCGCCTCTGACCGACCCCACCAGGACCGGACAGCGCTCAGACAGCGCCGCGCACTCCAGGAACGCCCGGCGCCGGCCGCCCGCCGGGCCGACCACCACCACTCACCGGTGAGCTGTACCCGGCCGCCCTTATAGCCCAGCAGGTGGGTGTACACCTGGCGCATGCGCTCCACGTTGATACGGCTGGCCTCGGCGTGGCTGACGATCGGCAGCGGGTAGTTCTCACCTGCGGGACAGTGGGGCAGGCCGGTGAGCGCTGCGTCCATCCGGCCCTGAGGCGCTGCTGAGCGCGACCAGGTCACAGCGTCGCCGCACAGGCCAGACGCATGGGTAAACCCCATAAACCAGGCAACGATGTGTGCACACAGTCAGGAGCACCGCTCCGCCATTAAACAACGGAAAGACAGCCAGACTATCCCCGAAGTCCCGAGGAAAGCTTTACAACCTAAGCACTTAGCAATTGCCCCATCTGGTGCACGCAAAAATGTACCTGTAGACCCCCCTCCCCTCCCAGAGGTGTGCCAACGTTAATATCGCAAACAGCTACACAATCATCCGGCTCAAAATCCGCAAACTCAAAGCTCCACGATGGCAAATGGACGCCCACGAAGCTTGCATATGGAAAACTATACGATATACATTAACGAAAATGTATTAATCATTCGTTATTTATTATTCCATGTCATATTATTGTTATTCATATGGAGTTCTAAAAAATAATCATAGCAACAAAACAGACCTAACGCAGGGAAAACGCACAGACCCCAGTCACCACCACCGAGCCTGATACCAAAGTTGAGCGTGTCCGTGATTTTACAGGAAGATGCCGGCCAGCAGCCGGGGTAAAGTGTTCGTCTCCAGCGGTCGACCTGCCTGTGCCGAGACTCGATCCGCACGTCGGCGATGAATGACATAAGCGATGCTCTCGGAGTATGCCGCAGGAGGACGCTGCAGCAACCGAGGCAAACACCCACTTTGATACTCAGCCCGGCGCTTTGGCACTGGATCGGCCAGGGAGAAGCCGCCCGTCTTCCTAAGCCAACCGTTGTGGTCGGGGGAAATATCCGCGCGCTGACGACCAAACGGTGAAGCTGTCTACAGCCTGACTAGTATGGGTCACCAAACTGCGGAATTCACGGATAATAACCGGCGCGGATTACCCCACCCACGGGGACAGGGACGGGGGAGGGAATGGTGTGACGGGGACGGGACAGGGGACGGTGGGACGGGGACGGTGGAACACAAGGACGGGACGTCACACGTACCGATCACGCATCGGGCCGCCTTCTGGACACTCTCAGGCGCCAGCCACGGCTCGTGGATGTAGCGAGACGGCATGCTGTTTAGCACCGGTATGTAGTTCCTGGCGGCAGAGTAGAGGGCAGCATGAGTATGCAAGCGATGCTTCGACCTGCGCTCTGGGAAGGCGAAGCTTCGCCACGACGGGGCTTATGATACATCACTGTTTTCCGGGTGAATGGACAATATGCCGAGCTATCAACGAGTCCTACCGAGAGTACAAGGGGCCGTGCCGGCGGGGAGCTTGTATTTACCTGTGCAAATCTATTTTCCAACAAAAGTCTAGTTTTGCATGATGACTAACGAAAGTCTCGTTTTGCACGAGTACTGCAAAGCGCGTTTGGAAAAATGAGCATTTGGCTGCAGGGAGCAGCCCTTAGACATGTGTGTGAGCCGCCAGGATCGCCCAGCTCTGCGTAGATCGCCACATAGTGTCCCACGGCGTTCGCCAGCTGACTATTCCAGAACGCCTCGTGAGCAGCTCGGTGGCATGCAACCAGTCCTTGGTCGAGCAACGGTGACACATAGAGCGCCGGCACCAGTGGCTCAAGCTGGCACTTCCCGATCACAAGGAGTAAGAGCGCAAACAGAACGCCGTCGACAGCCCCTACCAGCTTGGCGTAGAACTTTATATCTTCTTTTTTTTGGGGGGGGGGGCGCATGGCGTCCCCCCCCCCCCCCCATATTGGGCTGCCCCCTCCAAATTTGGCCGGGCCACCACTCCATTTTGCTCGGCCTTCACCATGTGGAACCTGGCTCCCGATACCCCATCAGTTCATTAAAGTAGCGATAGCTGAAGACTTCGTAGGAATTCGTAACTTGGTATAAGAGGAAGTCACTTACATAGTACAATACAACGCATCTTGCGCAAACAGAAACTCGCAAAAATTTGCCTTTTGTAAGCCAATAACCTCACCTTGAATTGAAGTGCGTCATTGGGGCTTTACGACGGTTCTGAGGCTATAAAGCGACACCTGTCTTGACGGAGTACGAAATTGCTTATCTTCTAGTGAGGTATGTGACACGAGCGCTGCATGAACGATATGAATTCCTAGATATTGAAAACAAGGGTACTGGATATATTGCGCCCCCGGCGCGTAAAATCGTCTTGCATTTGAACTTAAAGATAGTTGTAGTACAACGAAGTGGTGGCTCGCAAAAGAAGCATGTCCTGGAATACGTAGTGTAACGCAATGCGCAATATATGATGCATACGTATCCCCAAACAACACTGTCGACATATTTTCACATTGTTTTGGCATGTACAACACCACGGACTCACGACGCGATGGCGTAATGTCGGTTACTTGTGATGCTGTAACTGCTTATTCCGTTTTCAGAATCCACTTCAAACCCGCATGTATGAATCGTCCTGGTCAGGAGCTCGAAGGGCCCTCTGAAGGGCCCTCTGAAGGGCCTCTGAAGGGCCTCTCGTCCCAGTTCGGGGTAAATAGCAACTGCTATTTACCCTGACGTTAAACATATCAGGATGGGAGCCTAGGTGCCCTGGTCGATCCGGAAGCCCTCAGAGGGATACATCATGCGTCGGTCACATCTCTGATGCGGCAGGCCCTCTGACCTGGGCATTTCCGACGCAGGGACACGTCAATGACACAATGAAAAACCCAGTTCTACCCGTGCTGAGAGCTACCCAGCTTTTGTAATCTTACAGGCTTAACAAGGCATACACACGATAGTTTCAGTCCGCAGTTATACCGAAATCCCCTGAAAGGAGTGTCCCACCTCTCTTTTACATTTCACTTATTGTTAAATCAGACGCGTCCGGCTTGATCAGTAACACCAGCTTCCTCGAATTCTTCTGAAAAGCTCAGAATTTCTATTTGAAGTAGCCAACCCTGCGGGAGAAATCACATTTGGATCCCTGCTCGCCACATAAAAGTCATTCATGTCATTTGCTTTCCTTCCTCCAGCGTGTGTGTCCTGCAATGTTTGCAACACAACAATGCGTCAAAGTGTTTGTCCAATAAATGTTATGAAAGCCTGTGAAACACTGTGCTCAGACAAAAATATATACGAATAAAAAGCTATTAACCCACAAAGTCAACGAAGCGTTAAACTACAGCTTTGATTTCTTCCCTGTGGCGTTTACCAAAGTGGCTCTTTTCGGGGAGCACTCTGGCTTTGGGAATGGGAGCATTACATGAGCCATGTGACGCACTGGTTCAAGCTTCAACCAGTGTGTTCCCCAGTAAAATGCCCTTGCCCGCTGGGCCAGTAACAACTGCACGCCTTGAAACCACACAAAAGTTTCATCATTCAACTTCAACTTTTTTTGTTTTTGAAATGCCCCAAGTGTTTTACTATTCAAGCACAAATGTTTTTGTGTTGCTTTGTTTTTGAAACTAACCAAATATGTTTTGGTCCACACACAAGTCAGAAAGTGGGCCGCACACAGCAGAACGGCTACGAGCCAGCAGACTCACCTGATATAGTCACCATCAGGGTCAACCTTCCGGCCAAAACGGACCGGGCTGTAGCAATGGAAGAACTGCTGGGAAAACGACGAACAGCTGAGCCACATCCACGTGCCTGCGTTCACCGACCAATCAGCATCCAGCAGCAGCTCTTCGAACACCTGGCGACACAGCGGTACATCACATGGCCGGCACCGCACGGCGTCGGACACACCTGACGGCACAGCACGGCGTCGGACATAGCTGGCGGCACAGCAAGGAGTCGGACACACCTGACGGCACAGCAGGGCGTCGGACATAGCTGGCGGCGCAGCAAGACGTTGGACACAACTGACGTCACGGCACGGCATCGGACACACCTGACGGCACCGCACGGCGCCGGACACAGCTGGCAGCACAGCACGGCGTCGGACATAGCTGGCGGCAAAGCACGGCGTCGGACACACCTGACGGCACAGCACGACGTCGGACATAGCTGGCGGCGCAAAATCGCGCAGCTGTCCGCTTGATGTTTGCCAGCTGACGGTACAGATTCACACAGCTGATGTGATAACGGCTGACACAGCCAGCGACGTATAACCGCATAGCTGACAACAGTGCGGCATCCGACACGGCTGGACACACACACGCACGCACGCACGCACGCAGATGCCAGACGTGTCGGACTGCTCTCACAGATGATAGCAGTCTAACACAGTCACCGGCACAGCGTCAAACCGCTGACAGTACAGACCACAGCCGAACAGCTGGTGGTATCACGTCACACAACTGACGGTACGTCAGCCCGTCGACGGCACAACGCCAACTGACAGTACGCCGGTACACGACTAACGGCACGGCTTCGCTTAACTAACGGCGCAGCGTCACACAACTAACGGTACAGCGTCACAAAACTAACGGCACAGCGTCACACAACTAACGGTACAGCGTCACACAACTAACGGCACAGCGTCACGTAACTAACGGCACAGTGTCACACAGCTAACGGCACAGCTCCACACAACTAACGGTACAGCGTCACACAACTAACGGTATAGCGTCGCACGACTAACGGCGCAGCGTCACGCAACTAACGGCACAGCGTCACGCAGCTAACAGCGCCAGCATCAGCGTCGCACGACTATCACAGTGTCAGCGTCGTTGGTATAGAGTTACACAACTAATGGCGCAGCGTCACACAACTAACGGTATAGCGTCACGCAGCTAACAGCGCCAGCGTCGCACAACTAACGGCTCAACGTCAAACAACTGACAGTGTAGCTGTCACACAACTGACGGTAAGGCATCACATAAATGATGGCATAGCGTCACACCACTGGAGATGAGGTTTCATATTAATGAGGAGAGCACAACTGGAATGAGTGGGTCAACATAGCACGTAATACTAAAACATCACCCACCCGGCTAGCACCACAGTCCCACATCTGAGCACACAGCGCAGCACATCTGAAGGCGTACACTCGCGGACCGGCCAGTCGGCGTCCCCAGTCTGTGCTGGTGAGTGCTCACATCTGACTGGCGGTGAGGTGTTACACGGCTCCTGATGGCCGATGTAGCGCCACACAGCTGATGGCACGCGCCCCTCCGCCGACCGTACAGCACGACACCCACACTTGCCAACGAGCCGAGGTATGAAGCGCGCGACGCAGCACACTGGAGCGCCACGGCACGGGAACACGTGCGAAGGCCGAACCCCGGGACACGCCGAGAAACAGCAGGAGGCCGAGCCCGTGTACGTCAGCTGGCAGCTATCAGTTCAGGCGAAGCAAGAGGCAGTGAGCTCCTGCTGGTTTCTTGGAATTGTTCAGAGTTCTTACGCCGACAGCCCTTAACTTTAGCACATACCAGGGCGCACTAAGTTCAGTTGTGTTGATCACGAGTGATCGCAACTGGTGACCATAAACGCACTTCTGATGCGTCGAGTTTTGGCAATATAACCAATGTTTGCTTGATAACGTCTTTTATCCGCACCTTCCGGCATAATGTCGATAGCTGCCAGCTAAAAACTCTGAGCCACCCCAGGAGACATGATCGCCAGCAAGGCGATGAAGTGCGCACGCGTGAAGAAGTCACCCAGCAATAGGAGCATGAGAAGCTATCCTTGCAGTCTGATGTAATCTGGAGCCCCTGTCCGATCCACATGCCAGCCCGCACCCCAGCCCCCAGTTACGACAGTGCTGTGACTGTGTGTGGAGGCTCGGTGCGGCGGGCGCCGGTTCGGCCGCCTGCCCAGTGAGCCGCGCCCCAGCAGAGTCCCTGACCAACCTGCATGCCCTCCTCCCAGCTGATCCAGAGGTCGCCGCGCGTCAGGAAGCAGGCCACCGCGTGCCGCGCCAGGTGGTGGATCCAACCCTCCCGCCGCAGCTGGGTCATGATGGCGTCGATCCAGGGAAACCCCGTCTGACCCTGGCGGGTCACAGAGGCCTCAGGTCGGCTCGGGCGCGCCCAGTCTGCCCTCTCGGCTCGGGGCAGCGCGGCCGGCGCGCATTCACCTCACCTTCCGACCACACTACTCCACACATCAGAACCTGTGTGATGGGCTGGTGCGGTGGGGTGGGGAGCGGAGCGGGGCGGGGCGGGGCGGGGCGGGGCGCTGTATTTCTCGGAGAGCCTGCGCTCCTGTCTTCACACTGCTCTGGCCGGCGGCGCTCAGCGGGTCAGCCAACGACGTATGAATCGATGGAGCAAACAAGCGTGGATACCAAGCAATACGTATGCGTGGTGTTAGTGACGGGGGGGGGGGGAGACAGGGACTTCATTTCTGCACAGCGAGCATGGATAAAGTTGCTACAGCGTACGAATGCCGAGTGCCATGCCAGCGAGCGGGATGAGAGCCGACTGGGGCAGCGCCGCAGGATCAATCAGACCGTCCCGCACCGAACAGTTGGAGCGTGACTTACGGTCGCCCACTTGCTCAGCGCCTTGGGCTTCCTGTCCCACGGTATCTGTACGCAGATGGGATTGCCGACCATCTTGTCGAAATTCGGATTGTTGGTGGCGGCGACGTAGAAGAACTCGCGCCACAGCAGCTGCCCGTGCACGGAGAGCGGCGGGTCGCTGTTCTTGATCTGCAACAGACCGGCTCGTCTGACAGCGGGACGTGCGGAACCCTACGGGGGCGGCAGACGAACGGTTCCCGGACCGCCAGTCACAACGTCGGCTACCGTCCACGATGCAGCATCGCCGCAGCTACCAAATAAACAGTGAGCTAGAACCGCTTATAAACTAGGGTGGGAGTGAAAAAATCCATCACAAAAGGCCATACGAGGGTGAAAAATTCAATTCATATTTCACAACATTCTTTAACATAAAATAATGCAAAGTAGTTCAACAACAAAACAACAACAGAAAATTCAGCAAGCATAAAGCACTCAAACAAAAACAAAAACTTTGGACTGCTACACATCAGCACCAAGCCAAGCACAACAGACATACCTGTGGCTTCTGTTAAGATGGGGTCGGGGAAAACAAACATTATGTCACTGTTTCTTATCAAACACCAATGCTTATTTCCCAAAAAGTAGCTTAACTTTGCCTACCATAAAGAGGCCTTACCTCATCTCATCCTGTTTAACCTGTTCATATCACTGCAACATTTGTCAGTCAGTCAGCGGCGGTAGTGAGACGGCCGCAGCTGTCATGAGTGTCAGTCAGCGTTGGTAGTGAGACGGCCGCGGCTGTCATGAGTGTCAGTCAGCGTCGGTAGTGAGACGGCCGCAGCTGTCATGAGTGTCAGTCAGCGTCGGTAGTGAGACGGTCGCAGCTGTCATGAGTGTCAGTCAGTGTCGGTAGTGAGACGGCCGCAGCTGTCATGAGTGTCAGTCAGCGTCGGTAGTAAGACGGCCGCAGCTGTCATGAGCAGAGGTCAGCGTCGGTAGTGAGACGGCCGCAGCTGTCATGAGCGTAGGTCAGCGATAGTAGTGAGACGGCCGCAGCTGTCATGACAGCAGTGCTCCGCACGGCCCAGCCCAGCGCCCGGATTGGTGGCTGGGTCGGCAGGAACGGGGCGGCGAGCACACTAAGCTGCGGCCGGAGACATGCCCGTGAAACGAGGCGAGGCCGGGCTCCAGAACACACCATGCCGAGGGCCGTGCAGTAGCGACTGACTGGGTGCGGCAACAGACCCAGGAACCGATGCCGTGAATGGGAGCAGGCCAAATGTGTAGTGTCGGTACGCCATGTGCCGGAGGGACGGCACGAGCGGGGGAAGGGCCCACCTTGCGGTAGAGGTGTGCTAGGTCCCGGTAGAAAAGTCGCGGCGAGAGGGCGCCGAAGCGCAGGTAGGGGGACACGCCCGTCAGCGACGCCTTGAGCGACTGTGGCGTCATCTTGGGCCGGCCGAAGGAGGCGATCCAGGCCTTGCGCTCCATGTGCCGCTCGAGCCGCACCAGAGCCTCCGTCTCGCCGCCGTGCCACACGGCCGGCTGCGCCGAGTCCGTGTCGAAGCCTGGCGGGGCGGTGGCCGGGCGTTAGCGACGGTCAGCCGGCGCCCGATCCGCCACACGCGACCTGAACGGCACCGCCGCACTCAGACCGGCCAGTCAACACCGGCAGCGACCAACACAGCGCGCCTCGCAGGGCAGCGTCCAACAGCCTGCCATAAGGGCATTGCTAGGTGGACGGCTGGGCGCCACTGTCATCACGCACGCGCGTGGACCAGTCGTGTTTGCTGCGAAACCGACACAGGCGGACTGGCCGCCCGAGCAGAGCCGCACACCGACCCACAGGGGCTCTCCGGAGATGACACCAGCGGTGTGACGCGCTCACGCAGGCCACTCCGTGCACCCACCGTGCCTAGTTCCAGATACAACAAGATCATGACAAAGAATATCAAGATTATGCAACAAATCATGCAAACCACACGTAACTCATACAAAACTAAAACAGCACAGACGAGCCCCTCGCCGCTAGCCGTGAAGACGCGCTCTACTTCGAAACATAAAAATTGTCGAAAGAAAACGATGGAGACGAGAAGCACCTGGCAAGTTTCCCGCACGGCGTACCCCGCCACCAGCGGCCCGGGCTCACTTTCATTTGTTTCATTTTCACGTTACATTCGGTTCACAGCGCTCAACTCGGCTCGGCTCACTTACCGAGCTCGTCCAGCGTCGGCACGCCGTACTTGTCGTCGTGGTCGTCGCTGACGGGTGTGTAACTATCGTCGAGCATCTCCAGCGTGATGGCCGGCAGCCGGCGGCGGCGGTGGCGGCATTGACAGCAGCACGTTCTGGAACTGCTTGTAGGTCAGCGGCGACTTGCCGCCCATTTTGGCCATGACCCTGCGGCAGAACCCAGCTTGGTCATCGCCGAGCGCTCATCCCATCGCGATGGTGATGCGCCACTTATTCAGGCGCGCTGCAATCCTCTGTCTTTCGGAGTCTGCGTTCCAAGTTTCACTAACAGTTCTAAGTTATCGTGTGCATGTTGTTAAGGCATCTGTCTGTAGACTAACAAGTACTTGGTCCGGTTCTCGGCCCTGCAGGCAGAGCTGCTGCAGAGCTCACCTGTTCAAGTCGTAAAGAGTGTGGCAGGTGCGTGATACAACGCGCACTTGATGCTCCTCCGCCATCTTGCGCACGTTCCTGTCGCGCACCCTGCCAAACGGCTCCGGGTCCTCGCCGAACGACAGGCACGTGGTGCCCCATTTCTGGCGGCGACGGGAGCACCCAGTGAGAATGGGGGGAGGGGACTGCCGCTGGAGGCGCGGCACGCCTGGACGCCGGCGTG